CTGAGAAGCTCTTTTTATACCCAATCATGTTGTCAATTGACCTAATTAGTGTTAATTGGTCTTCCAGCTGTTCATTATATGCTCAATTTCCTTTTTCCAGCCACTTATTGCTACTTGTCCCAACTTTTTTGGGATTTGTTGACACTGTGAAATTTTGAATCAACATATTTTTCCTTTAAAATGTTACATTTACTCAGATTAAACTTTTGATCTGTCATCTATGTTATATTACGAATAAAATATTGACATTTGCCATCTCCACATCATTGCATTCAGTTTTTATTCACAATTTGTTTAGTGTCCCAACTTTTTTGGAATCCGGTTTGTACAAGCGGGGTGACACCCCGTCAATCGAATTGAGCACCCCGCCTATCAAACCAAACTTGCCCCCCCACCTGCCCACACGGCACTGACATAGCACTAAGCTAGCTGTGAGAAATACAGGTTCTCTAGCTAAAAAGCTAAAGGAAGCACTCATGTTGCCTCTTCCCTCATGCTAAACGCCCCCTGTCCCCACTCAAAAACTGTTAGTACAAGCTGCGCTCAGACAAGTGTCTGTCCCCCATCAACAAAAATCATGGATGAGATGAGCACCCCGCCATGGCAAGTTAACTAGGGGAAACACTGTGCTTTCTAAACAGTTATTGAATAAAGTATTTACTTATGTAGGTAAACATAGATATTTTAAAACCTGTTAAAATACACCAGAATGCAGGAAATAGCAGTTGCTTTATTCAAAAAGTTATGGGGGAGGACCCTCAGACCATACACCAATATGTCCCCCCCTACAATAATTCCAATGCTAATACATGCTGCGTGGTTAAAGCCAAGAGCCATTGTCAACACTGGGGGGCTAAGGCCCCTAAAAAGGGCTTTTAGAATCACCCCTGGTGTGAAAAAATAAACTGAGAAAAATCAACTCTTGGCCTAAAATTTAACACAACAACATACACATCATATCTTAAATCTAAAACTAAAACAGTTATTATAATGTATATGAAACCAGTCTTTCATATAAAAATGGGGATATTTTTACCGGAGAATGCTTTCACTAGCGAGTTTGTTGTTGTACTAGCAGTACTGTACTAGGTTGTGTAGCAGGCCCAAGACTTTGGAATGAGTTACCTCTGCTGGTTAGACAGGCCCCCTCCCTCACAGTCTTTAAATCTCGCTTAAAAACACACTTTTAGTCCCTGGCTTTCTGCACTGTGTGATCTGTGCTGAGTCTGTGTGCATCACACTGTGTTGGTCATGTTGCGGTTGTTGTTGTTATCCATTATTGTTTTTGTTGGTTTCTACTTTTTGGTGTCCTTTTATGTAATCTGTTGCTATGTTCTTGTTCTGTTTGTCCCTGTACAGCACTTTGGTGTGCTTTGTCACTGTTTAAAGTGCTTTATAAATAAATTGGTATGGTACTGACATGGTTACAGCCAACAGTAACTATTTACACAATAAAGTGATGGTTATTCACGTTTTCCTCTATTTCAGTATCTAGCAGGACGTCACAATATAAAAATAGGAATATTTTTACCGGAGAATATGTGCACTTTAACCAGGTAGAGTTCGGTTGTTTTTTTACTTTACAAACAGCGACACATAATTAAGATTTGAACCTAAAAACCCACATAACAAAGCAGAGCATAATTTTTAAATTAAAAGTGACAAGGTGGAGAAAAATGCGCTGTTTGAGTCTGTTCATTTACTGATGGCAAACAAAGTCCGACTCACTAAACGTTTAAAGCAGCACAGCACCAACACAACTCTCATGAAGTTCAGGGTTATTTGTCACTTTCCTGCCTGTTCTGTGAGTTTAATAGACAGACAGTTACTTCTTACCTTGCGTTGCAAACTTTTTCAGCCATTCGGTTTCTTTGGAGACTTCGCTGTTCCTCCCACCCTCTCGGTGAAAAGCTACGGTGTTTTGACTTCTGGGAAATGCAGTTCTTTTGACTTGTGTTAAAGTGAAGGCTTACTGGAAGAAAACTACAAAATAGCTGCGCCGTTTTTTTTTTTTTTTTTCATTTTAATTTTTGGTTAATGGTCAGTTCCTGCTCCTGTCTGCTCCCGTTAGCTTTCAGTCCGGCCACGTCCCGGTCATTTGAGTTATAATGAGGTTGACTACGGTCCTGCCGGAATCCGGCCGGAATCACGTGACCCGCGGGTACTCCCGAAAACATGTCATCCTCTGATTTGTGGTACACCTCAGTTTGCAAATGTCCTCTATCAGAGACTGAGACCTCA